TTCCTGAGGTGATTTGAAGCAACTTTTTCCTTTACAAAAATTTTCTCCGTGGCTTCGTTTGCGACTTATTAACGAAAAACAGTGGCCAATGAGAGGCGAGCTCGGCTCACGCAAGCTCAGTTCCGCTGATTGGCTCGGCCGTCGCGTGCCAGCCGAGCTCGCCTCTCATTGGTCACCGTTTTTCGTTAATAACTCGTAAACAAAGCCGCGGATTGCATTTTCGTCAAGGAAAAAGTTACTTCAAATCACCTCAGCAATCCCTTATTTCCCGGAAATACCACAATTTTGGGACACCCTGTGCATGCATAACGTATACAATACGTGTATAAGTTTTGCTCGAAATCGCTCCAGATCCGAAATATCGAAATTCCCTGCCTCGGTGGCAACGTACGGACACGTGAACGAAGGGAGAAACGCGGGGGGTCGGTCGAAGACCGCGGATTTCGGGCGAGCGTCTCGCACGCGTTCCTCGGCTAGCATCGGCATAAAACGCGAGGGAGGCTGCGGGGGAGGCGCGAACGCGCCAGCGAGAAAAAGTGGAAGCCGGCGGGAGAGGAATCGAGGTTTCGGCGAACATCTGCCAAGCAGGCTGATTTCCAGCCAACGATAAGACCCCGAAACGCGGCGGGGCCGGTATAACCGCGCCGGAATTCATTAGTTAACCCTACGCCACTGCCGGCGAGCGACTCTTTCGCGAGCGCGGCCCTGAATTGTATCGTCGAAGAATTCAACGGGGAGAGCGGCAGAGGAAGGAGAGAGCGAGAGAGCGAGAGACGGAGAGAGAGAGAGAGAGGAGGGAGAGAGAGAGGGGGAGAGGTAGGGAGGGAGGGAGTCCGGAGGGAGAATGTTTTCTAAGGGATGAATCAAGAGGGTGGCGAGAGGGTAAACCCGGGGTCTTCGTGGAAAGCGAGCGGGGACTCTCTGTCTCTTCCTCCGCGCCGATGCTTTTCAAAATGTAATCAATTGTCCGTGGAGCTGAACGGCTACCGGAGATTGTCGCGTGAAAAATGCACGCGAATCGACGCGCGCGCGCACCGACGCCCCAGCGTCGCTACTTTATTTGCTGGGAAAATATAATATCGGGCTTATCTATGTACATTCGACACACAACGAACGTCGCTGTCGGACGTGCTAGTAGACACGCAACGCCTTCGGCAAACAGCGTGTAAGCTAGATCGCGATAGCAGGACGAGCCCTCGCTTTTGTTTCCTTTTTTTCCCTCCCCCACCATCACCGAAAGTCAGCGTCGCTGTCGCTAGAGCGGGACGCGAGTTTGGTTTACGACGCGACCCGAAGCTGAGCTGATGCACGTGGAAAAATAAGGTGAAATATTTTTGCCCGGTCCGCGGTATGGGATACCCGAAAACGGTAAAAAGTACCGGTTCGTAAGCGCTCCCAAAATTGAAAAGAAACTGGGCAGACAGGTAACCCCTGCCCTGCGATTTATTTTTTGAAGAAAGCTGCGTGTACAGACGATTCGATTCGGCGCACGGAATTTGATTTTGTTGAAAAAAAAAGGAAATTTTAGCCTCGAACAAAAATTAATCTATAGTTTACTTAGTACTAAGATACTAAGATATCGGTTTACATTTTCGTCAATTCCGTCAGCGGGCAACGACGGTGATGTAAACTGTATATAATAGATACTGCGATACATCATCACCGGTACCATTAGATACACATCGTGCCCTGACTGTTTGGGGATCCCAGCGTCACGTATACAATGTGAAACGCGACAAATAAACGTCTCTGATTGGTGGATAAGACGAACCCAAGAAGGGTATAAAAGAAGCGTTTTTTTCTTACCGGACTCTCAGTAGAGTTTGGTCGCTCGATCGTTTTCGCCCATATACCTTCTCTCAATAACGGTATAAAATAAAGTCTTTTTAAGAAAAGAATTAGAATCATATTCATTTTTTCATTCCATAATCCCAACCGATTTGAAAATGTCTAGCTGGGCTGAAATTAAGTCTTTTTTTTCAAAATAATTCATTTATGTTGTATATTTACACTGATATTGTATATTTATATTGGGTTGTCCGAAAAGTTCGTGCCGATTTTTTAGGAAAATTAAAACGCAGCTCATTTAAATATTGGAGCCAAGCTTCACAGTATGATCGTGGATGGTTGATTTTGATTTATTTAGCATTCCTGCTAATTGACGTAATGTTGAGCGTGGGTTATTCTCGATTTCTGTTCTAATCATATCTTCGTCTGTGGTGGATGGCCTATATGGGCGTTCTTGATCTTCAAGGTCGATATTTCCAGCTTTAAACCGAGCAAACCACTTCCGCACAGTTCTTTCAGCTACAACATCCTCGCCATAAACAGCGCATATTTTATTTGCCGCTTGTGTGGCATTTTTGCCCTTTTGGAAAAAGAAGAGCATTAAATGCCTATAATGCGCTTTATTTGCCACCATATTCTAAGGTGTACAAAACTGATAAAAATTAACGAATCGTAACCAAGCTTTTTTCCAAATATGGCTGAAGTTATCTCTTTTAGAATATGTACACATGTCAATTGTTTTCAATAATTGTGATATATTCAGTCAGGTCTCTCACGCTACATACCGAAAATCGGCACGAACTCTATCCGGACAACCAAATATTTATATTGTTGTTTATAAATGTTGTCGAAAAGAATTTCTATGAAATGTTCAGCGTTAATAAGACCATGTATAATTACAAAGCTTCGTTGCGAAAAATGAAGGAATTGGGCATGAGCATGTGATTTCAGAAAATATTTCTCATCACTTTGGGGTGTTTCTCACCCCCACAGCGCGGCCTTTGTCTCCTGGGAAAATTCAGCTGAGCACCCCTGCCGTCGGCCCGACGCCCACCCCCCAGGAACCCCATAACCACGGTGGCGAAAATAAAATTTTTATATCCTTTGCAACGAAGCTTTTGTGTTAAGAATAGCCCGGTGAAACTTATTCGAGATTATTGGGCCCGAGAATGCTGGCCGCGCCTTATGAAACGTAATCACTGGGCCGAGGATCCTGCGCGCGAATTAAGCTGTTTCGGGAATATTTTTGCGACGCTGGAATTAATTGATAATTTATTGTCCGGGGTTTTGTCCGGCAGGAATAAAGTGAAAAGGTCGGCAGGGTTGACGGTCCGGAGATAAGCCGGGTGATCTTGAGATTCGTATCTTTATGGAGGGGAAGACTTTTCTCCGTGAATTTGCGAGGGAAATTTCTTTCTTTAATTAGTCGCAGACATTACTTTCCTTTAATATTCCTACTGTTCTATATTTCACCTACTTAATTTGGGCATGAATGCATGAACTGTAGTCCAGCGAACCTCGATTCCACTAATTATTGAACATTCTTGGAGAAAGGGGAGGGGGTAACATTCTCAATCTCTTCAGTGACATCCTATTGCTACTCTTGACGAATTGCGATCCAGTTATATCAAGTATTTGTTATTATGAGACTGCGGGTTTTGCGCATTTATGAGAAAAATGTATGCATATTCGGTGGTAAATAAATAAATAATAAATAATACCTACAAATAATATATATAATAATACATAATAAATAAGACCTACAAAAAAGGAAAACATACTTTCATGTTGCTTTGGTCTGTTGCAATCGAGGTGGACAATATTTATTTTGCTTCAAAATCCACAGTCTAGTTATTACACTCCTTCGCATGCCGAAGGCATGGTTAAAGCAAATAATATACTTCACGTTCATGTTACTTGAAACCTTGAAACACCTATATACGTTGTACAAAGCAACTATATCTAAGCCTTCATACATTTCACACACACAAATACATACTTTCATCAAAGAGGAAGAAACATGTTGCAACTCTTTGGCGGCACCACCTTCGCATTATTCACAACACGGTGAGTAAATGTCAGTAGCACCGTATCGGTGTCGCGAAAATATTTCTATCGCAGGTGTTCCAACAATACCTGTTAATCCTCCCCCGGGAAATCCTTCAACAATCGTATTCGAACTTCCACCAAAAACTATTACAAAGTTACCTGCATCGACTCACGTGTTCGAAATTAATCCCAAAAACAGGTCAAAAATTCTTCACCTACTAAAACCGCCGAAAGGTGGCGCCTAAAATAAATACGTCAGCCCGATGCGTATCGGAGCCCCAAGGTTAACTAATCTAGGGTTAACTCTCCCACGGCCCAAAGAATCTCTCATTTCTCAGCTGGCCGGCGACGCCGAGAAAGAGAACCGAATCGACGATCGAGAGAAAAAAAAGGTAAAAGAAGCCAAGTTATCTTACCGGGCGGGGGGGAACCCCGCCCAGCGCGCGGCATACGAATAAACAGCAATAACGCTCGGGGACTTTGTACATTCAACTGTGGTTCGGCCGCGATCGGTTGTCCCGTCGCCGTCGTCGTCGTCGTCGTCGTCGTTTCAAAGAGCGATCCGGCTCTCGGTGGTTCCCGTATCTCATCCCCGGCAGCGTTTTCTTAACGAGCTGCTTCGTTCATCTCTCACGTACGACGCGCTCGGTATTCGCGAGGGCCGCAATCGGCTCGCCGCGAGTGCAAGCGCGTAGTACATCAATATGAGGATCGCGAAACGATGCGTTTGGGCGCGACCGCGTGCCGCGACTGATGGTCTGCGCATGCGCCGCATTCCCGTTCCGTCTGTCCCGCTCGTTCGCGCGGGATGCGCGCGCCTCTCCTCGTCTGTCCACGTCCACGAGACACTCGGCTCCGCTCGCGGCCGCCCGCCGGGGATGGGCGAGAGCGGGGCTGAAGTTCGCGGCGGGACGCGGTGCGGGCCAGTCTCTCGTCGGCGGTCGTCGGCGGTGGGGCGAGAAGGGTCGAAGGGAGGCTAGGGGAGTCACGTTGGAACGCGTGGAAGGGGCCGTAGGAACGAAGGGGCGAAGGGACGCGGGGGACGGCCGGTGTCGGGCAATGCCACTCAACTGAATCCCCGCTCTGTCCTCGCGGCAGTCTGACGCCGGTCGCGCAGTCAGCATGGCTGGATTTTCTCGCAGTTTTTCGCCGGTTCCGCCGTGCTAGTCGCTCGCGGGAGTGCGTGTCGCCTGTCAGTGTGTGCCCGACGGTCCACGGCTAGCCATCCTCGAGTGTGCCCTTCGTTACGATCCCGCGGGTCTCCTGGGAAGGAGCGATGCGAACGAAACAGACGCCAGACACACGAACCTAACCTCCAAAGACAAAGATGAGCCGAGGCATTGCTCCGGTTGTATCGCGGCCCCGGTGACGCTCGACCAGCTCTCGTGTTCTCGTGCCGTTCAATTCGCTCCGTCGCTCCGTCGATCTGTTCGCGTTTATAGCCGCCGGTGCCGTGGAATCTCTTAGCCGCGGTTAAAGTGCGTTTCGTCGCGTGACAGCGACCCGTGTGCGTTACCTCGAGACACTCGTGGATCCGCGCCGCGAGGGAGACGAGGACAGGGAACGCGGAAAGAACAAAAGGGAACGTTGGAACACTACCGTGCGCGCCCCCGTTGGCGTGACAGAGAGAAAGAGAGACGGAACAAAACGAACACCAACGGCCGAGAGTGATCTCTCCAGCTGGACGGAGAAGGGAACGCCGTTCCGGCGAAGGGAAAAAAAAGGGAGAAAGGGGGAGGTTACAAAAGGGACTCGACAACAAATCTTGACCCGGGAACGAGGGAAAGATTTCTTGGAAACTCGGGCTCGCGGGGACTGCTGTTTTCGACCTGGTCCAGCCGTTCATCGGAATTATTTCCTCTACTGCTACTCGGCCGGGTCTTGCTCCTCCTTCGGTTCTTCTTCTTCCTCTTCTTCGGCTCGTTTGGCCGCTGACTCCGAGTCGGTGAGTTTTGCCGTTGTTACGTTAAAAAGGCCGGGTGGAATATTTTGGCACATTTCGCTCTCGCGCGCCCGCCGAATCCCGCATGCAGGGACGGTCGGTCGGGTCGGTTCTCTCTGCGCGCGATTCGGCGCGGCGCCGAGCGGCGTGGCGCGGAACGGCGCGGCGTCTCGCCGTCGGCGTAATTCTCTCTCGGCGCGCCTCGCAAAAAGAAGAGGGCCATGTGTACGCCGGCCTGGCCGGAGTGTAAACAACCGCGGTCCTTTTAAATGCCTGCACCATATCGCGGGCCCCGCGTGTTCTGTTATCCGTCTGACGCAATTCCGCTCCGGTTTTTACGCGCGTCCCTCGCCCCACTCCGCCCCCCACCCCTCTTCGAAATTCAGTCGCACGGTCGCGAGGGCGGTCTCAACAGGTCAATGTCACGGCTACGGCCGTTCCGCGTCGGTCACCGGTGACCGACATACCGCTCGTTTATTTTACAGGACTGCGGACTCGTCTGCCGAAGGTACCCTTTCGATCTCTCCAGCTTGAATTTGCGTGTTTAAAGCTACGTAAGCTCGGCGAACTGGACGCATTGATAAACATCGTCGGCTAACTTTTCGCCTACGTACGGCTTTTAGAACGTGGATCACAACGATGTTTCGGCCGGCGCGCGTAGCATGCTAGAAAGGTACGGTTTACTCTGAACTATCCGGGGAGGGGTCTGGAAAAGAGTTTACTCTGGACGGAGTGAAAGATAAAGTATAGAAACAGACGAAGAATTTTATGGGGATTGCGTGGAGGCTCTTTGCGAGAGTATTGGTAAGAAAACAATGTATGTTCGGTTCGTAGCATATTTAACCCTTTGCGCTCGAGTGGCGACTCTGTGGCAGCGTTAAGGTTTGTTATATCACGTTCTAAGATAACTTTTGTATTAACAAAGTTTAGATTTAAAAGATTGTTGTTAAGAGCGTAATTGCTGTGCGAGTCAGAAGAGTCGATCTCACGTGCATAAAATGCACTTTGTCGTGTAAAATGAACATACCATAAGCGAGAAAAATGATTTTAGATTTACAGTTCAAATAGCTTCGAGTGCGAAGGGTTAACCCATTGACTGCAAACTACGAGATATCTCGTAGTGGGTGCTGCAAGTTTAGATTGGCTACAAATGGTTATTTGAGTTTAGGAACTATTAGAAAGGATGAATGAAAAATGTATATATAGTGTAGAGAACATATTGATGCCATTGCAATATTATATCAGTAACTTAACACTAAACTTACCAAGCAGTAATACTAACTGGCATGTACTGCTTCACGAAAGCGAGAAGACCGAATTTATTTAGAATTTGTAAAGTTTTTATTATAAAGCTTGCTCCAATGATATAACTTATTCAAGCGTTTTCCACGAAAGAGTCTCGAAACTTTGCAGAATTGCATAATAAGAAAGCCGTCACTTTGACTGCGGTAGGTTTAGTGTTAACCCTTTGAACTCGAAGCTATATATATATATTTTAACTGTAAATCTAAAATCATTTTTCCAACTTATAGTATTTTTATTTTGCATGACAAAATGCATTTTACGTATATGAAATTGACTTTCGGGGCTCACGCAACAGTTACGCTCTTCACAATTCTTTAAATCTCTAAACTTTGTTAATATCAAAATTATCTTGAAACGTGATGTAACAAATTTTAGTGGTGCCTCAGAGTCGCCACTTGAGTTCAAAGGGTTAATATTATTATATTTTGTAAAACTTCATGTTTTCTTGAAAATAAAACCGTGGCAGTCAATGGGTTAAATATTGTATCACTCTGAACGGAAACCTCGGGAAGGGTCTCTGTGTAGCATGTACTTTAAATCGAGATGCAATTTTAATGGACCGACCGTTGTCCGATCCCTTAAGAATCACCTAAGGGTTGAAACGCTGCGAAATCACAAAGGTTAACGATGTGATGTATATTAACAATAAATTGTACATTAATGCAACGTTAATTAGACGTTATTAAACGTCTTCTTATGGCCGTAATTGTTGCTGGCACGTATCGGCAAATGGGACAATGCTTTGTAAAATTCTAGAAATCCGCGATTCTAAAGAGAGAGAGAGAGAGAAACTGAAAAACGGACGTCGAACGGTCGTAAAGGTACAAAGAATCTGACGACGAATTCAACAAACAAACGGAGTAGATAAAATTACACGTTAATAAATGATAATCGGAATCTCTGTTGACCCCGGTCGTGTCGCAGGAATTTTATGGGGATTGCGTGGAAGCTCTCTGCAAGAGTATTAGTAAGAAAACAATGTATGTTCGGTTCGTAGCATATTTAAATATTGTATCACTCGAATGGAAACCTCGGGAAGGGTCTCTGTGTAGCATGCGCTTTAAATTGAGATGCAATTTTAATGGACCGACCCTTGTCCGATCCCATAAGAATCACCTAAAGGTTGAAACGCTGCGGAATCACAAAGGTTAACGATGTGATGTATATTAACAATAAATTGTACATTAATGCAACGTTAATTAGACGTTATTGAACGTCTTCTTACGACCGTAATTGTTGCTGGTACGTATCAAATAGGACAATGCTTTGTAAAATTCTAGAAATCCGCGGTTCTAAAGAGAGAGAGAGAGAGAGAGACTGAGAAACGGACGTTGAACAGTTGAAAAGGTACAAAGAATCCGGCGACGAATTCAACAAACAAACGGAGTAGATAAAATTACACGTTAATAAAACGATAATCGGAATCTTTGTTGACCCCGGTTGTGTTGCAGGAATTTATTGACAAATAGGCCTTTGTAGAATACTAAAAAGCCAGTGGGTCGGCGATTTATTGGAACGTATAATTGTAAGCGAATGGAGTTGGCGGAAACGGGCAGAATGGTCGACGCATAAACGATTCAAGGCTGTTACGTGCAAGCACGGTTTATCGTTAATTTGTCGAAGTTTTTCGTTCCCGTTATCGCGGAGCTCCATTGAAGCGAACGCTTGTCGGACACGACGCTTAAAACGTTGACCGATGAATGAAGCGGATCCGCTGTTGATCTACCCGTAAGGTTTACTGGGTCGCAGAGTGTTTAGATAATTTGTAATTCGATCGGAGCAAAGTATCATCACGCTTTATATTTAGAAGGCTTATCTGTGGGAGCAGCGCGTTGCACGTTTAAAATTCTGATCGCGATCGATCTTTGGACTTCACGTTCGCCGCCGAAAACTGCTGGCACGAAAGTCACGGACGAATTGCATGCACAGCTATTAGTTTATTTTATTATAAATTATTATTATTATTATTATTATTATTATTATTATAAGTTTATTTAATTCGACGCGGTCGCACTGACTGCGAGGTGATTAGCGAGCACGTGTCCCACAATTAATTATACCGTAATTAACATGGGACATGTATTTCTGGATATAATTAATGTGCATATTGGTATGAGTAGCTAACGAAGAACAATTATGTATAACGAGTCGTATGATGGATTTAAATGGACGATTTAAAAAAAAAGAGGAGAACGTTACCGACGCGTTTTTCTCGTTTAGGCTCGATTCAAGGTCTCTTGACAGATTTCAATCCTGGGCGCTCGTGTCATTTTCATCGGCGGTTCGTTCGTTGATACAGAAATTAGCTCGAACCGTTCCAAAAATACGGAGAAATCGATAATCCTCTAAACCGAAAAGTTTTTCCCTCGCCGTCGCAGATCTAGAGCGGGAAGTTCCGTGCGCGCGTTTAGCTATAAAAAAGAGAGAGAGAGAGAGGACTTTACATAACGCAAGGTGTCTCCGATATCGGAAAATTATTCAGATTCATAGTTATTGCAAGCTCCGCGGTTATAATCGTAGATATTCGACCGGCTGCTTTTTTATTCATGCGAGTGGGGGAAGGGGGAAGCAATAAACATGGACAGAACAGCATCCATAACCGGATATTTGTATGCAGCAGCGTTGCATCCTCGATACCGGCGCTGGGCTCCCGTCGGCTGATGTCACGTGGTGACGAAACGAACGGAAAGATTAATTGCATCGTGACGATCGGCCGCATCGGATACCGATCGTCCCGTGTAAGAGACGCGGCCTCGCCGAGATCGTCGCGCTCTGCCTGCCTGTTATGTCGGTTTTCGAGCGAACGTTCCCGCAAAAAAACTGCCAATGTTGTTCCCGTCGCGCAACCGGCCGATTATCATCGCGCGCGCGCGCCTCGGGGCTGCAATTTTATCGGCCGCGTGGCGAGATTTTTCGCGTCCGTGAAACCGCCGCGCCGCCGGAGAAACCGGAGCAGCCGCGCTATTGTTTCTATCGCGATTCCTAATGTTCTGTTATTTCATCGGGGATTGCGAGACACCTCCTCCGCTTACATACCGCTCGTTTTCTACGGCGACGCGCGAAACGAAAATCGTGTTCGCGCCGGGTACGTGTAGTAGTGTTACAGTAAAATCTCCCTAATTGACGCTCGGATTGCGGACAATTTGGGAAGAGGAGATACGATTATTCGAGCCTTGCGGTTAGTTTTTATAGCTACCGATTGCTGACAATTATAAAAACGCGAGCCGCAAGACTCGAACAATCGTATCTCCTCTTCCCAAATTGTCCATTTTTGCGTAGAAGCTGAATAAAAATTAGGGAGAATTTACTGCATTAATTATTAAGAGCAGGCTTTGTTGTACAGATTTTAATGGTTGCTTCGGATAAGTTCCCAGGTTCTCACGCGGCTCACTTTTATAGGTGCCAATTGTCAAAAATTATAAAAACGAGGTGCGAGGCTCGAACAATCGTATCTCCTCTTTCCAAATTGTCCATTTTTGCGTAGAAGCTGAATAAAAATTAGGGTGAATTTACTGTATTAATTATTAAGAGCAGGCTTTTTTTTGTTTGTTTTACAGATTTTAATGGTTGCTTCGGATAAGTTCCCAGGTTCTCTCGCGGCTCACTTTTATAGGTGCCAATTGTCAAAAATTATAAAAACGAGGCTCGAACAATCGTATCTCCTCTTCCCAGATTGTCCATTTTTGTGCACAATTTGG